GAAATAAAGACTTTGAATCTTTACGAAGACAACTCGAACATAAGATCAAAGGTAAAAAAAATCAAATTGAAGTCAAACAGACAGTTAACCGAAGTCTACCAACACTTACAGAGCAAGGACGATTCTGCTATTTTAGCAGTAGACAACTTGAACCAAAGAACAAAATAGAGAAGAATGAGACTAACCAGCTCCTCGACCAATTCAAGAAACTCGAGATCCATTCGGCTATTTTAGCTACCTTACAGTTCGAACAAGAAAAACTCCATGATGGAATATAATGAAAAACTCCTCGACCAATTTTTTTTTATATATTTTATATTTATTAAATTATTTTAGTCCGTATATACATCTTAATAAATTGACATATATTTACGTCAAAGTATATATTTATTAACATATTATTAATTAAATATTATTTATACATTTATTCAGTACATAAAGATTTCTAATTAATTTTTTTTTTACCATTGAGTAAATTAAAAGAGAAACTTATTGTTGGTTACGCCGTCGTTTTAAACGAACTCTTCAATCATTATTATACACAAAATATTTATTACTGAATAAATGAAAGTTTTTCCAATTACATATGATATATGGAGTAATTAATAATCATATATTTAAACATATTTAATCATTTTTAACCTAAAAACATATATAATACTTTAAATTACCCTAGTTTAAATAGTTAAAAACAAATTAAATTGAGGTTAAATAGTAAATTTAATAAAATCAATAAAAATAACTTGTATTAAAAAAAAAATTACCCTTTACTTTGATTTTGGGCGGAGATTCACGGTTTAGATTGAGAATAAAAGAGTGAGAAATGCTTTTTTCTCGTTAGATAAATAGGGTCAGAGACAGGATTACTTCTCGTCTCCACCTAATTCTTTGCCCCGCCCTCACCTCGTTTAATATAAATATATTTTCAATCCATATTAATATATATATATATTATATTATATTATATTATATTATATTATATTATATTATATGCGTGTGTTTTGGCTCTACTAAAAAAAATATAATATTTAAATTAAAAAATATATTGTAGAATCTTTTTAATGGTTATATATATATTTATACCATTTTTTAAAAATAAAAATTATGTTGAAACTTTAAAATAAAAAAATGAAAAAAATTACTCGTATTAAACCCTTATTACAATAATTTTAGCGTCTATAAAATAAATAGAAAATTTTGTATGAATGAGAAATAAAATTAGAGGACGAGCACGGAGATTCCATCTAATAGAATATATGCTTGATTTATTATTATTATTATTATTATTTTTTGTAAAATTTTAAAATTCGTGATATATATATATATATATATATAATGTTTATATTATATTATTTATGTAAATATCTCCTTATTTAAAATATATGAACTTTTTGTAAAGTACTTTATACGTTTGACTGATTTTGGATGAGTATTGACATTTATATAAAAGAAATTCGTATTATTTTTTAGGTTTTATTTTTTAAAATCCAAATAATTATTAGTCAATCATAAAAAAGAATGGTGTGTTTTCTATTTTACTTTAATTTTTTTTCTTTTTGATAATGAAGAAGAGTGAGAAGAGAGAAAAGTATTGATGTGTAAATTAATTTTAAATGTTTTAAATTTTAATTATTTAATATAAAATATTTCATTAATTTAAATTTTTTTTTATTAAACTTAATTATTTAAATTATTTAAACAATTTCTATGTAATATTTGGGTGTTTATTATATAATTATTACAAAAAAAAAAATCTTTACCATTGGCTAAATTAATATAAATATATTTGATATTCGCATATTATCTAAAATTAAACTTAAAAAAAATTAAAAAAAATACCTTTTTATTTTAATTAATATTTTTAATTTTTTTAAAAAAAATTAAAATTTACCTTTATTTTTTTTTTATTTTAAAAAATATCTTTAAACTTTATAAAAATAAAATTAAAAAATACTCTTGTCGTTAGTACCACGGTTAAAAATAATATATGAAACGTCTATATACAATTTTAAGCTATTTTCAAAATTTCATAGATTTTTTTTAAATAGAGGTAAGAATATTTTTTAATTTTAGGTTATTTATTTATTATTTAAATTTAAATATATTAATAGTATTATAAAAAATAGAATATCGTTACTTAAATGATTCGACAATCTCGTAAAATAAGAAAATAGAAACATTTATTTCCATGTCTTCCCCTACCTTATTGCCTACTTTGATTTCATGTTTTTGTGAAATATATACACGAATCATTTCTGGATTATTACTCGAACCCCTTTTTTCTGGATCCATCTCACACCAATAACTCGACCCCCTACCGTTTATAAGTAGTTTTAGACAGGTTTGTTTTGAAGTAGATACCTGAATTCCAAGTATGGCTCGTAATAATCTATCTTCGGGGACATACGATGATTCTTTCGCCATTTGAGTCGTTAATTTACCTACTAAAATATCGCCCGTCTCCACCCACGATCCCAACATCACATCGTTAAATTATGCTTGAGTTATTTATTTATTTTGTAAACAAAGTACAAATTTACCAAAAATTGACGATTTGTTAACTTATAATGATATTGACCAGTCCATTCAAATCACAAAGTCTAACCCACGTATTAAAAAAATAAAAAATAAAAAAAAGTCAAAATTGTCTATTTTGACCTGTGGCTAAATAAAATTTATTTATTTAGAAATTAGTAGCCACGTAATTCCAATTATTTTATTTTAAAAAATAGAATTAAATTGGATGTTGATTTTTTAACTAAATTTGATCGGCTCCGGTGAGCGTCGAACCCGAGGAAGAGCTCCAGCTGTGCATAACAAAGGCATCGGCTGGGGAGTCAATTCAACCGAAGGAGAAGCGAGTGTTCGCTCAAATCAGTGAAAGAGGCAAACACCAAGAGCACTAGCTACGGGTCCTCGACACGGGGGCATCAAACCATATGACCGAGGCCAAGTCTGCGTTATCCGAGCTTGGAGTAAAGGCAAGTAAAAGAAGAAAAGAAAAAGGAGGATACGACTAGTTGTCAACTCCTCCCTACCCATGGTTATATACTGTAAGCCGTTGTTATTTCCCTCTTGCTTGCTTATATAACGTCTCTTTCAAATATCTCTCTTTCGAATCGTACTAACCCTCTTACCACTCTTGTCTTTAGATCTTTGTGGAGGTTTGAGACATTCCCCAGCCGTGACAAACAATGAGCGAGAACGATAAGACAAGACCGAAATGAATTTTTAAAAAAAACATGGAATAAATCATTAATCTATTACGTAGGTTTGAAATTTGAAATGGGTCCTCCAAAAGTAGGAAGCTTTACAGCATAGAGCTTTTAAAAACAATGCCCCCAACGGCTACCTTCATATTCCATTCTTAATAGCTCCAAACTCCGACCGACCACCGCCATCTTTTCCAGCTTGGCTCACATTCCTCTGTTCTTCCACCGCTCTTTAAAACCCCCATGGCTATCAACCCATTGCTATTGAAACAAGAAAAATGCAGCCCAAAAGGCAACCCATTTCCCAAAAGCTCTTTAATTTCCTCAAAGTTTCCATCTTTCTTGCTAAAATGAAAAAACCCATCTTCCCAAAGCTCCTTTTCCTCAAGAAATCGTCGCCGGCCGAGAAATTTGAGCTTCTCCAGTTCCAATTCTCGCCCTCCACCACTCCTCTGTTTCGTTGTTACAGAGGCCGCCGCCGTCGCCTCCGCCGTGGTGGTGTCTATTCGGTGCTGTTTCCTAGATGCATTGGCAGTTTTGGAGGTGAAAATGATGGAGAGGTGGGGTTTCCGGCCATTGAGGGGCGGGGTTCTGAGGCGTGGGATTGGAGTGAATTGAGCGATGAAGAGGATTCGATTGACCGGAGGGCTGAATTGTTCATTCAGAAGTTCTATGCCGATATGGAAATGGAGAGGCTTGCAGCCATTTGAATCTTGGATTCGTTTGTTTTGTTGTTTTTATTTTGTGATGTGTTCAATCCACTCAAGTTTTAGAGATGGTGGAGATTGGTTTTAAATTTTTTATGCTGTTCATTGTTTGAAGAGACTATTTGTAATAGTTCAAGCCCATAGATATTGTCTGCTTTTGTTCGTTACGTATTGGCATCAACTTTACAATTTAAAATATGTCTATTAGTGAGAGGTTTCTATACCCATTTAGGGGCTAACGTCCTTGCTGGCATATTGCCTTGTATCTGACTCTAATACTATTTGTAACCGCCCTAACAAATATTTGTTGGATGATGAAAGTCCCACGTCCGCTAATTTAGGGAATGATCATAAGTTTATAATCCAAGAATACTCTCTCTATTGGTACGAGACATTTTGGGGAAGCCCAAAGCAAAGCTATGAGAGCTTATGCTCAAAGTGGACAATATCATACCATTGTGGAGAGTCGTGTTAACTACGTCGTCAACCTCATGATTTTAAAATGTGTCTACTATGAAGAGGGTCTAGCCCTGCTTCGACCAATACCTTGCACCTTTTAGTGACTAACTCTGATACCATTTGTAACAGCCCAAGCTACGTATCATCGTTAACCTCACGATTTTAAAATGTGTCTATTATGAAGAAGGTCTAGCTCTGCTTCGACTAATATCTTGTACCTTGCACCTTTTGGTGACTGACTCTGATACCATTTGTAATAACCCAAGCTCCCTACTTCGACCATGACCGAGTTTGATACCATTTGTAACAGCCTAAACCCACTGCTAATAAATATTGTCTGTTTTGACCCGTTACGTATTATCATCGGCTTTGCTATCAAGACTACTATACCACCTAGTAACCCTAATTCGTTTAGTGTAGAATCTTCAAGTTTAGGTTAGTTGACTTTTTTTTTTTTTTTTTTTTTTTTTAATTTTTTAGTTTTTTATATATATATATTAAATTTCTAAATATTTATTTTAATTTTTTTTTTATCATAAGCCTTCAAATTTGGCTAGTGGGCTTAATAGTCTGTGAGGCCCAATACCTGTGCTGAGCCCATCTAAGTCCAATGCAGAGAAGAAAATGGGCCCACTTTTCATATTGAGACCTTTCTTTCATGGAAGAGCGAACGCAGAGCCTTCGCTCGTTGAGGAATTGGGAAATGAGAATGGAGAAATCGGAGAATTTCAGCGTTCATAATTCAGAAATAGATAGGAATTTTTGAAGATGTAGGCCGGGAATTCCTGTCAAGTTTGGCATCTGAGTTAGCGACGTTTCTGTTCGGAATTCAGTCATTTGAGCTGTTCTCAAGCATCTATCAAATTTTGATGGCATTTACAGGTTCGTGTGAGTTCTAGTCTTGTATCTCTATTGAGACGTTTAGTTTCTGATGGAATTCGTGGTCTAGAATTGAAATCCTTTAACTGGAAGCTTCTTTTTAATTTTTTTCTTTCCAATCGAGTGATTTTTGTGTATGATGTGTGTTTTTGGTTTGGAATTACGTGCACATAATGTTTAGTTGATGTAGGGCGGGATTACATCCCTGGCGGAATTATTTAGAATTGAATTTAGTTTCTTGAGTTGGCTGCATGGCTAATACCCTGTGTTTGGAGAATAACCTTTTCTTTCAAGTTATGTACATTGTTTGGTTGCTTAATAGTTAAGGAGAGAACCTGGAGTTCATGAAAAATGGAAGTTATTTAAAAAAAAATGAGGAAAAAGAATAAAGTTAGGAAACAATCTGTTAGACAAACACGACTCTCCATAATGGTATGGTATTGTCCACTTCGAGCATAAACTCTCATGGCTTTGCTTTGGGCTTCCCTAAAAGGCCTCATATCAATGGAGAGAGCATTCCTCGATTATAAACCCATGATCATTCCCTAAATTAGTCGATGTGGGACTTTCATCATTTAACACAATCGTCTAGGTTTGGAAGAAAATGATGAGAGGATAAAAGAATAAACCCAGGTGGTGTTCAATATATCGATTCAGAGCTACCAGAAACAAGAAACAAGCAATAACCTCCACCAACATGAGAGGTTCTCTTTCCTCCAAATGCTAAATCCTTGAAATTAGGAAGAAAAACATATATCTAATTGGGGGCAGACAAAATCACAAGAATGGCTTCAAGCAGTTCAAATTTGGTTCTTATATGGTGATATAGTATTAGTTCAAACCAGACTGGCTTAGCAATAAGTAACCATTAACTGGCTGTTTGTTGTAATGCAGATCACAGATTTTAAATTTGTTGATAGAATATCAGACTTTATGTGACTATAGATGTGGAAATTTTGCATATGCCGGATGGTGAAACTTATATATTGAATCATCGAATTTCGAAGTTCCTCACTGATGTGAAGCCTATCAATCGAACATGGTCGTATATTTGGATAAATAGTTTTCACTGCTGCTAGACTGAATCTTTATATTAATGACATTTCAGGTTTCCTTTTTCTAGGCCCGTTAGTATTTTTTATAAACTCCGAGTTTGCTTGGTCACTTCTCGCCTTTCAGTATATTAAATTTTTGTGACGATAGGCCAGATGAACATGTTTGCATGGAGTTGTCTTTTAGATGTATATGAGGCTGGAGTTAGGGGAGATAGGTAGATGTCTACATCTACAATATCATTTTTCTTGGTTTGATTACAGCAGGCTTGAACAAGTCATCAGTTCCTTCTTCAGATCTTCGATCTTGCAAGTATGATTATTTGTCAAGATCTTTGCAGTTTTGAGGAGGAGGAAATATATTTTCTAATGTTTGATTCTTCTTTTCAAAAAAAAAAAATTACATCCATTATTTCCATCTTGGTTGGATCGTTTCCATTTAGATTGAAAAGAATATATTCTTTTCTTTTCTCAGTTAAAATTCTCAGCATCATTTTTATTTCCCTCCGATGGATCTCTAAGACATGACAAGGAGAAGTGCAAGGATTTAAAGAAGATGGTGTCCTTGCATGTGAAAGGAAGGAAGAACAGTAGCTAGGCAGAATAGAGACTGTTGTTGAAGTAATCAGAACTGAAACAATTTGATTTTCCAGTGCAGTTTACTTGAGAACATAGTGAGGAAAAACATCAACGAAACATATATTGTTAGGAACCACGAACCTCCACAATTCTATGATATTATCCACTTTGAGCATAAATCCTCGTGACTTTACTTTTGGTTTCCCCAAAAGGCCTCGTACCAGTGGAAATAGTATTTCTTATTTATAAACCCATGATCTTCCCCTTAATTAGGCAACGCAGAACTCACTCCCAACAATCCTCAACATATATTAGTAGAAGTTGAAACCGCCCGCAGTGCCTGTAAACCTGCCTTTGACTTGGCTCTGGATCCTTGTTGAACTAGCTCTAAACTTCTAAGGACTTGGTAGCAAAGAATGTAAATGAGCAGTAGCTTGTTGGCCTTGATCACTATTGAACTTGTGTTTTCCTTGTCCTTCCAAAGAGATCTGTAAATAAGCAGGAAATGATGTCTCTACCACAGTTGTTGCTTTTCTTTTTACATTCTCATTTGCAAGAGACACTGATTTTAGTTCAATAGTTGAAACTTGTGGGTCAGTTGCTGTGCCATTGTAGCTTTACATGATTCCCTTTTTATTGACATATTATTCTCTTTTCAACAGTTCCTCTTTACTTTCTCCTCGTAATAATAACATTTGAAAAGGAAGGTTGCATTACCATATAATTGTAACGGCCCAAGTCTACTACTAGCAGATACTGTTCTCTTTGAATTTTTCCTTTTGATCTTCCTCTCAAGGCTTTTAAAACACGTCTCCTAAGAGGAGATTTCCACACCCTTATAAATAATGTTTCGTTCTCCTCCCCAATACGGGACCATCTGTTCCAAATTCTATTATGAAACCTCACCTCTTGGGTCATCTTAAAGGCCAACCAGCAATAGGGTCCACTATTTTGGGCCTCTTATCTTGCTTAAAAATTAAAGTAAAAGTACAGACATTATTGTATGATTAGATTACCTTCCAACTTATCTGTGGATTTGATCTGAACTTTATTCTCCCAGGTCTTTCATGAAGCGAAGCTTGTACTGTTTCTTGGGGTCCTTTCCAATTTCAGCTCAATCAATTTTAGCAGGTGATCACATTTTCTTCCTTTTTTTTTTATTTCAATTAAGAAGCAAACTCAACTAGATTCTAGACGACGATTATTTGATTTTAACTAACAGATTTACATTGATGAAGCTCTTGTGATTACATGTTTCTTTGAAGCTTAAACCAAGTAATGGACATTGAAGACCTAATCAAGACATAAAATCAAACCCATTTGGCCAAATATAGAAAAGAAAAGTAGAAAGAAGAGCCAATTGTGGGGTTAACTTCATTTTAGTCTACAAGTTGTTGTAATGATATTGTTGCCTTCTTTACCAAACCCATTTTTGAAGAAGCTAGACCCTAAAAATGCCTAAAAAAATGGAATTTTCACTCTGGATTGACAAGAAAATTTGAGGCCTCTATTTGGTTTTGGTTAACATATTCAATCACTCTCTCTCTTTCCCTTTTTTTTCACACCAAAACCCACCATAAACTTCAACCAATCAACCAATCTATGAGAAAAGACGTTTTTGTCGCTATGTTGACATTTTCACCGATATTAACTTAAAACGTGGATCAACATTTCAACTATACAGTGTAGAAATAAAATTTTATGACTTTTTAAAGATATATTCATCGATATCTATATTTTTACTTCTAATTGTATCTACATTTTCAGGTTGAAGATTCAAACCTCGACGCCCACGTGTTATTGAAGATTCTACACTTCTCTCTTTAGGACTAATACAACTGGTTCTTATTTTGAATATGGTTTTGATTTGATAAAGTGATTTGGTGTCCATAATTATCTTTTTGGTTTAGGGTGGCAGCCAACCTTGTAAATTAATGATTGAAGAAATGAGCTTAATTATCGGAGACACCTTGGGAACATGTCTCTCTCACTCACTTTGTTTTAGAATTTTGCTAATTGGGCCTTACAAATCACTCAATTTCATGAAGGGTTTGACTAATCAAAACTTACCTAATTTCATGCTTAATTCTTCTCGAGTATCCCTTTCTTCTACTTACATTAATGCAATCATTTATGATTCACACAAAATAAAATCAATTGGTTAGGTTATTATTGCCATTATAAGTATCCATTCGAAGTAATTTTTTTTAAGGTAGCTTCTCTTCATTTCTACCTTCTATTTCAATCTCCATCTCAGTGAAATTCTCAATTTATTGTTACAGGGATTATATACAAGAATTCCCTATGGAATAGCAAAGATCGAGTCTTCTGACTTGGTTTGATACGATATAGATATATTAATATTTATATATGAAAATAAGAACGGTACAAGAATTGGAGCAAGGACGAAAAATACAATCTTCATTTTCGACCCATTTAGCTCACAGAAGAAAAAAAAATCTCTTTTCACTCCCTCTTCCATTTCGGTTTTTGAACGAAGATTCTCGACCTACTCATTACATATTTTTGCCGAAAATTAATACCACTAAATAAAGCGATCATACACAATTTATTTACCTTATGTTTTTGGGTTATATATAGTTTTTTAATGCTTTTCAGGGGCCCACAACTTTATATATATATATATATATATATATATATATATAATTTCTGACGTGGAATCATTTTCGGTGGAAATTGTTTTTTTAGTAATAATTTATTTCGTCCTAGTCAATTGTTCAGTTATTGCACACAAAACGATAATTTAATAAATAAAAATAAAATAAAATAATCATCAGACATTTCACATCCCAGGAATGAATAAATGTATTTCAGAGACATAATAGATCTAATAATATAAAATATAAAATATAAATATAAATAAAAAATGTACATAATAATTTCCATTACGGATTTTCAAAAATTTCTAAAAAAAAAAGAGCGTACGATACAAATCACCCGATCCGATTCCGAGTTCCGGCCGATAGCGATCCGATTCCGATTCCGAGTTCCGGCCGAGACGATTTGCAGAGCTCGAAAAGGGGATTCCGATTCATGGCGCCGCCGGCGCCAATCTCAAATGCAAATCCAACCCAATTCCGTCATCAAACCCCGACCCATTTTCCCCCTTAGTAAATCTCTTCAACGACATCCCCTCACCGCCCCGCCCCTGCACTCGAGACCCCACCGTCAATGCCACCGAATTCCCAATTCCACCGCCGTACGACGACCCCATCCCCCCCACCGCCGTCGGAAACACACACCCATGTGACGAAACATGTATAGGCGGCGGCGTCCTCTGCATATAAACCCACGACGACGTTCCAGCACCACCACCGTTAGGCAGCACAAACGCCGGAGGCCGCCCGGCAGCAAGAAGATGCGGCGGAGGAGAAAACGCCGAAATCATCGGATTCCTAATATACGCAACGGCAGCACTTCGTGTAGCTTGTAATTGGGCACGTTTAAGCTGCTTCCTTTCTTTCTTGTGAGCATTCTGATGGCCGCCAAGTGCCTGCGAGTTAGCAAACTCCCGACAACAGTAAAGACACTCGTATTTCCGGTCACCGGAGGGGGTAAACACGCCGGATTCCGACGACCCAGTTGGAGTTTTGGCTGAATCATCCTCTTCCAACTCTTCTCGAACATCAAAACCAAAAAGTTTTAATTTTGTGAAGGTTGCCATTTTTGAGGTAAAAACAAGAACAAGAAGAGAAATTGAGGGGAAATTGTATGGAGAAAGGGTGGATTGAGTGGATATTTATAAGGGGGACAGGGGAATCTAAGTAAGAATTGATGAGTACAAGGAAGAGAATTGGGGGAAAAAAGAAAAGAAAAAAGAACACATGGGAGTTGGAGTTGGAAGGACAGCACTTGTCTGATGGATCGGCAGCTCTGTCTTTGTTTCTTGTCTTTTAATGACAATGTTTTCAATACCTAAATGTATTGCCCTTTTGACAATGGGATGAACTAAAAACACACACTTATTTCCATCCTTTTTCACATTTTCTTATCTTCTTCTTCTAAAAAGTTGGTCCCATTATCAAACTCAATCTCTCGAAGTATTTTTATACTCACCTGTCTGTCGTTACTTTCGTTCTTTCAAATGATAGTTGATTGAGATAAAGAGTTCTGTGATCTCACATCGATTGGATATGAGTGTGGAAACTTTTCTCTTGTAGATGCATTTTAAAATCATGAGGTTGACGACGATGTGTAATGAGCTAAAGTGGACAATATTTGCTAGGGTGGAATTGAGTTACTATAAATGATATCTCAGCTAGATATTGGGCGGTGTGCCAAAGAGGACACTGGCTCCTAAAAAGGTGGATTGTGAGATTTCATGTCGGTTAGAGAGAGGAACGAAGCATTTCTTATAAGGACGTGAGCTCCCAAAGGGATGGATTGGGAGATTCCACATCGATTGGAGAGAGGAAAGAAACATTCCTTATAAGGGTGTTGAAACCTCTGTAGTGAGAACATTGGCTCCCAGAGGGGTGGATTGTGAGATCACACATCGGTTGGAGAGAGGAACGAAGCATTCCTTATAAGGGGTTGAAACTTCTCCTTAACAGACGCGTTTTAAAACCACGAGACTGACAACAATATGTAATGAGCTAAAGTGGACAATATCTACTAGGGGTGAGCTTAGGTTATTATAAATGATATCAGAGCCAGACACTGAGCGGTGTGCCAGTAAGGACACTGGCTCCCAAAAGGATAGATTGTGAGATCCCACATCGATTCGAGAGAGGAACGAAACATTTCTTATAAGGGTGTTGAAACCTCTCTAGTGATGACACTCGCCCCCAAAGAGGTGGATTGTGAGATCCCACATCGGTTGGAGAAAGGAACAAAGCATTCCTTATAAGGGTGTTAAATCTCTCCAGTGAGGACACTCGCTCCCAAAAGGGTGGATTGTGAGATCCCACATCGGTTGGAGACAAGAACGAAACATTTCTTATAAGGGTGTTGAAACTTCTCCCTAGCAGAAGTGTTTTAAAACCGTGAGGCTGATGGAGATACGTAATGAGTTAAAGTGGACAATATCTGCTAGCGGCGGACTTGGATTGTTACAAGGACGTTCAAGAGATGTACGACCATAGAGAAGGATTTTTGTTGGGTATCAATCTTTTTGGTATGTGCATGTGTGTAACATTTTTCAAACACAACCGAATTGTTAGGATAAAATTTTTCAACTCAAACGATACTCTGATTCATAAAATTTTGGGTTGGATTGGGTCGATTAATTTAAATTAAGTGAAGCATATAGTCAATACAATACTAATACTTAGTTTAATGTCTAAAACTTTAATTAATTAATGTTCTTTCACCAACCTTCACTGTAAAAGCCAGTTGAGGAACTCGATGCATTAAAGAACTATAGTCCACTAAAGGGTGAAATAGACATCATTATTCATATATGTTTAATTATTCTTTCTAGTACACGGACTTTTAAACTCTGGTTCAGGAGTTGAGAGTGTTTGTAACGTGTAACAGTCTAAGTTCATTGCTAGTAGATATTGTCTGTTTTGGTCCGTTACGTATCGTTGTCAGCTTCACGGTTTTAAAACACGTCTATTAGGGAGAGATTTCCACACAGTTATAAGAAATGCGAGTTCCCCCTCTCCAACTGATGTGGGATCTCATAATCCGCTCATTCTTGGGTTCTAGTGTCCTTGCTGACACACCGCTCGATGTCTGGCTCTGATATCATTTGTAACAGCCCCAAACCCACTGGTAACAGATATTGTCCATTTTGGTTCGTTACATATCATCGTCAGTCTCATGATTTTAAAATGCGTCTGTTAGGAGAGGTTTTCACACCCTTATAATGAACGTTTTATTCCCCTCTCCAACTGATGTGGATCTCACATAACGCATCATGCCTTAGGTTCGAATCAGGATTTAGAATTTGAATTCAGGACCAGTTGGCTTTGATGATTCAGAATCTAGATTCAGCATCTGTTGGTCCCAGCATTCCCTTGCATCGCCTAAGACATGACCATGTTACTAATAAAGTCTATCTCCACTTACCAACAGGGCCCATTCAGTAAGCTTTGTCCCCACTCACATGCTTTCCAAGAAAATTCTTAGGAGGTCACCCAATATAAAATTACTCCAAACTAAACACGTTTAGCTCTGAACGAAACATCTTTTATAAGGGTGTGGAAACCTTTCCCTAACAGACGCGTTTTAAAGCCTTGAGGAGAAGCCCAAAGAAGACAATATCTGCTAGCAGTGGGCCTGGACCTTTTTCAGTGAAAAGATATATTTTCTCGAACACTCGAGGATATATTTCCTTGAACATAGCTAACAAGGGTTTGATATGCAACCGATACTATAGATAGCTAGATAGATACACTAGATAGCCATGTTAGGAAAAGGGTATCTAATCATACAATATCTATGCAAGAATCAAAGCATACACACAAAACAAGATCAAGTTTGGTTGATTGTTGGTACGAAGATTAAAGATTGTGTAAAGTCCAACTCCAACATGATTACAAAACTAGGGAGTGGGGGAGGGGTTGATATGGAAATAAACAAAAAGTAAGGGAAAGAAAGAAACAAATAATAGTAGTTTAAGAGTGAAATAGTGTTAAATATGTTAAGTTTGAGGGTATCTTTTCAAAGAAACATAACAAAAGATAGGGTTATATATGCAAATTCAACAAAGAACAAGGACGAGGGCCCAATTTTTTTGGGGTTTTGTGAATGAATTATTGTGTATAAGATGTTTGCGTGATTGACGTTAAGACTTATTATTAATTCTTTGCTTTAAGAGAGACAGATCTCTTCGAATCTTACTAACTACGATTGATGTTTGGAAGAGAGAGAAAGAGGAGAGAGAGAGAAAGAATTAGGTTTTGTTTTTGATTGTTCGTAAGTTCTTCCAAAGTCTTGATCATAGCTTCAAACATGACCCACTTTTGTCTCCAATTCTATGTATTTTTGTGTCAATTTTTGGCATGAAATAGAGAGAGAGAGTTATCAAATGGGTATTAATTATGTGTAAGCTTAGCTATCAACTTTGCTGTTTGGCACTTTTTATGATATACATGATATCATGGAGGGTGGGGGAAAGGGATCATGTTTGAATTATTCTTTTGCTACTTTAAACCAAAACTACTTTTCTTTATATAAATCTTCCAATGTTGAAGCTAGTAGGTAGTTGATAAGATGGTTTCATTGTCCCACTTCTTTGTTCGATGTGGGTCTCGACCTGTCTTGTTTAACTTATTTTAGTTCCATAGATTTAGGGTTTTAGGTTAGGTTCCACGTTGGTTGGAGAGGGGAAAGAGCATTTTTTGTAAGGGTGTGGAAACCTCTCCGTAGTAGATGTGTTTTAAAATCATGGGTTGACGGTGATACGTAACGGGCCAAAGCGGACAACTACTAGTAGTGGGTTTGGGCTGTTACAAATGGTATCAGAGCCAGACACTGAACGTTGTGTCAACGAAGATGTTGGGCCTCCAAGGGGGTGGATTGTTAGATATCATATCGGTTGTAGAGGGGAACAAAGCATTTCTTATAAGGGTGTGGGAACCTCTCCTTAGTAGACGCGTTTTAAAACCGTGAGGCTAACGACGATACGTAACGGGTCAAAGCAAACAGTGGGGGGCTTGGGCTATTACAAATAGTATCAGAGCCAGACACTGGTCGTTGTACCAATGAGGACGTTGGGCTCACAAGAAGTGAATGTTAGATCCCACACCAGTTGAAGATGGGAACGAAGCATTTCTTATAAGGGTGTGGAAACCTTTCCCTAGTAGACGCATTTTAAAACCGTGAGGCTAACGACGATACGTAACAAGTCAAAGCTAACAATATTTGTTAGCGGTGGGCTTGGACTGTTACAAATGGTATCAGAGCCAGACACCGGTCGTTGTGTCAGCGAAGACGCTAGACTCCCAAGGAGTAGATTGTTAGATTTCATATCAGTTGGAGATGGGAACGAAACATTCCTTATAAGGATGTGGAAACCTCTCCTTAGTAGACGCGTTTTAAAACTGTGAGACCAACAACTCTTTTTGTTAAGATAAAGGGTTGTTTCACTTCTAATCATCGTGTAAGACTATCTCCGAGTATTGTATAGATCATAACATTGTTTTATCCCAAAAATCCCTCGTACTCTTCAAAGTTTTCGGGTTCGAGTTTAAGCAACGAAAGGAAGAGAGAGAGAGAGATTGGTGAGAGAAAATGAATATTTAATAGATGATTCCACAACAATAAGCAACATAGTTTAATTTGGAGGTGGGATATGATGTTAGAAAAAGAAAACCCATAATTAATTAAAGATTGCAAGTGTCAAAAGATATGTAATTAATTAAGTTTAGCTATGAAATTAACACTAAACAAAAGGGTTAATGATTCCAAGTTGAGCGCTAAAATTTTCCCATTCATTTAGGTTTGGCATGTGAGGAAGCATCCAATTTGACAAATTTTAGGTACATGGAATCCACGAACTCAGCTTGTTCTTACATTTCATGTCTCGTGTTTTGTCTTCACCTTGTCACTTCTAGTTAAGTGGGTGCTGACCGTCATCCAACGAATCATACTCGTTTCTTTCTAGGTTAAACCCTAAATCCAGCCTTTATAATTTGATAAATTCTCATAAACAGTCCCTACGATTTTCAAAATGAGACCTTTTTGACGTTTGTTAACGTGTCGATAAAAAACGAGACTATTATATAACTTAACGTAAAATTTAAGTTAATGGGTTTCCACCGATCAAATTAATGCACTAAAAAATAATTAACGTTTTCTTAAAAGCTTAATCATGTTGATTAAGATGCCAATATGATCATACAAGATTGCCCAAATCACAAGTATGACCCACCATGTTGTGCTTATCAATCAAATTTACCAAATCAATAATTTAAAATTAAAAAAGACTAATCCTTTCTTAATCAAAATTAAAACCCCATTAACTTTCTAATCATCTTTAGTTTGTTTCCTTTTTAAAACCCATTAGTTTTGGAAGTGTCTAAATTAAAAAGGAACCCATTATCCAAACAATGTGGGTGACTCATTTTAACCCCTCCATGCTTGCCACGTCACTTTTTTTTGTAACCTCCCGGATCGACCGCCAGTAGATATTATCCTCTTTGGGCTTTCCATTTCGGGTTTCCCCTCAAGGCTTTAAAATGCGTCTACTAGGAGAAGGCTTCCACACCCTTATAAATGGTGTTTTGTTCTCCTCCCCAACCATGTCCCAGATCCACCGCTAGCAGACATTGATGTCCCACGTTGGTGGGGGAGGAGAACAAAACATCATTTATAAGGGTGTGGAAACCTTCCCCTAGTAGAAGCGTTTTAAAGCCTTGAGGGGAAACCCGAAAAAGAAAGCCCAAAGAGGACAATATCTGCTAACGGTAGATCTAGGTGGGTCGTTACATTTTTTTCTAATTATTTTTTTATAATAACCGTCCAATTTAAACCCTAATTCTTATACGTATGCAGGACCCATTATCTGGAATCGAGGGGTTTAAATTTATTCAAAACGAACCTCCCAGAAGGTAATTTTAAAGTGGCTGATTTTTACTCTTTTGCCATCAGTTTACTTTTCTAGCTAAATTGTCTGTACCGGGGATAAGAATTGGCTAACTCTGTGCCAGCAACTGCAGTAATACAAAGGAGGTAAGCGTTCAATTAGAACGCCCCATATTTCATGGCACGTGGAGCAGGACATTTCCTTTTATTGATATCATCATAAGTTGATATCAATAAGTTTGCACACGAGTTTAACGACACTTATAAAAGTTCAAGGTTTTCATTCATACAACTCTCAAAGTTTAGAGGGTATAAATTGATACGGGCTAAGATGAGTGGTCCAAGTGCACACAACCAATAATTATCACCCAATTGAACTCGAACCATATCAGAAATAGTTAGTCAAAGCTTAGAAAAGTAAGGCATGGGGTGCTTTTTCTCGTAAGCCAATAAGCCAATAGGGTCACCAATGTGAGACAGTTGGGCTTTAAACAGTGCACAGAATGATTTCATGGGAGAATTCTGGTCAGAAAAACCGAGCACATAGACAAGAAATAATGGCAACTCACCAAACATAGAACTCTTCTTAGATTCTGGTCGGATTCGGACAATTTTCCAGTTCTAATTATTGGAACAACTTTGTTTGTTTGTTTGCTTGCATACTACTGTTACACGCCTGTTCTGTTCTTCAACCTTCATCATTGTCTTATGAGACTTCTGTTTAGGGTACCCTACAAAGTCCTATAAACTAAGTCCCACTAATAGTCGCCTGTTTTGGCATTATAGTTGCTACCCTAATGAGCCGGAGAATCTGTAATAGTTCAAACCACTCGCTAGTAGATATTGTTTTTTTTTGTGTTTTTTTTTTTCGGACTTCCTCTCAAAGTTTTTAAAACACGTATGTTAGGAAGAGGTTTCTACGCCCTTTTAAAGAATGTTTTGTTTCTCTCTCCAACCGACGTAGGATCTCACAATCCACCCCACTTTGGGGCCCAACGTCCTCGTTGGCACTCGTTCCCCTCTCCAATTGATGCGGAATCTCGCAATCCACCCACTTTTAGGGCCCAACGTCCTCGCGGGCACAAAACCTGGTGTCTGGCTTTGATATCATTTGTAACAGCTCAAACCCGCTAGCAAATATTGTCCTCTTTGGGCTTCCACCCAAGGTTTTTAAAGCACATCTACCAAAGACAGGTTTCCACACCCTTATAAAGAATGTTTCGTTCCCCGTTCTCCGTTCCCCTCTCCAACCAATGTGGAATCTCACGATCCACTCTCCTTAGGAGCCCAGCATCGTTGGCACTTGTTCCCCTCTCTAATCGATGTGAGATCCCACAATCCACCCCATTTCAGGGCTCAACGTCCCCGCTAGCACAGCGTCCAGTGTCTGGCTCTAATACCATTTGTATCAGCCCAAGCTCATCATTAGCAAATATTGTCTTCTTTGGGCTTTTCTCAAAGTTCTTAAAACACGTCTACTAGAGAGAGGTTTCATGCTCTTATAAAGAATGTTCCGTTCACCTCTCCAACCGAAATCTCCCGCCGGGAACAACATAGTATACACTCAAGTTTTCATCACAAACCAAATAAACAAATTTATTACCACTAATGAAACTGAAAGATATATAACTCAGCCAGAATGTTCTTGAGAACTGAGCAAGTCACTCAATACAATCATAAACACAATGGCATAAATACACATGTTTTATAGTGTACCTCTCCTTCAAAATCCCATATTGTAGATACAGCAAACAGTATTATCAGGCAACTCACAACAAACGACACGGTTCGATGGACTCAAAACGTCCCGTTCTGATCTCAACCGAGCTTCTTGTCTGATCTCAGATTTAGATTAAACCATTTCTTCTTGGTAGGTTTTTCCTTCCCATCTGAGCCCCCATCTTCCCCAGAAGTGTAAGCTTTTGAATCATCAACCTTTCCATTACCTAAACCGGTGTCGTTATGGTTCGCTGGTCTGCAGACGGTGAAAGAAGAGTGAACGGTATCTCGGTTTTTTAGAAGTTCGTCGACCTGCAGTGTTAAATTTACAAGAAGTCCAGTGCTGTGCGAATAAGACATATCAGATCGAGTAAAGAATACATACGGATAGTTTTTCCTGAGCGTATCGGTTGGTAACTTCATGAAAGCGTGCAAGTGCCTACAAAGTACATATCGTAACAGTTCAAGCTCACCACTAGCACATATCGATTCGTAACTTATAGAAAATGCAGGATCAATACCTTCCTATATTCAATTTCGAATTGACGTAATTCGTTTCTCTTTGTTAAAATTTGTGCTTCGATTTCTTTAAGCTTCTTTGTTGTTTCTTCATATGATTTCGCACAAATCGCTTCGATTGTGTACGTTGCGGGCTTGAAGAAGTTATCACCTGAACAATCGTCCGAGATGACGGCAAAATATTACGGCAAATACGAGTTTAGATAGCAAATTCAAAGAATGGATGAAAGACAAGTTTATACCATAGACAGCAAATATATGAGTTCCAGCTTTTAGTTCTGAAACCTCACAAGGCTGAAGGCCTTCCAACCTCTTGAAAAAAGCAGCCTCAGGGTCCTTGGCGATGGCCAACTGCATTACCATGCATATTAATCAACCATTACAAGAGAGCAAACTTCTGAACTCTTGACAGACCGTTCAGTCAGACAACGCCGTCCCCGGGCATCATAAATTAGAAAGAGAAGTCGATGATCGAACTACTGAATATTTAGCATCAACGTACCGCGTTAACAGTTGAATCCATCTTGTATACTTGAAAATGAAGAAAATACATCCCAATAGATGTAACCTTGCCTGTCTTCTCACTATCCTCCTGTTCGTAAAGATACATAACAGTTGTTACGAACATAATAGTCGTTCCTACAAGTATAAGTGGAAATTTGTAACGGCCTAAACCCATCGCTAGCAGATATTGTCCTCTTTTGATTTTTCCTTTCGGGCTTCCCCTTAAGGTTTTTAAAACGAGTCTGCTAGGGAGAGGTGTCCACACCCTTATAAAGAATGCTTCATTCTTCTCCCAACCGATGTGGGATCTCACAATCCACCCCCTTCGGTGGCACTTGTTCCCTTCTCCAATCGATGTGAGATCCCTCAATCCACACTCCTTCGGGGATCAGTGTCATGCTGGTACACCGCCTCATGTCCACCTCCATTCAGGGCTCAGCCTCCTCGCTAGCACATCGCCCGGTATCTGGTTCTGATACCATTTGTAACAACCCAAGCCCACCGCTAGCAGATATTGTCCTTTTTGGGCTTTCCCTTCCGGGGTTCCCCTCAAAGTTTTAAAACGCGTCTACTAGGGAGAGGTTTCCACACCCTTATAAAGAATGCTTCGTTCTTCTCCTAGCCGATGTGGGATCTCACAATCCACCCCCTTTGGGGACCAGGGTCCTCGCTGGCACTTGTTCCCTTCTCCAATCAATGTGAGATCCCACAATCCACCCTCCTTCGGGGATCAATGTCCTTGCTAGTACACTGCCTCGTGTCCACCCCCCTTCAGGGCTCAGCCTCCTCGCTAGCACATCGCCCGGTATCTGGTTCTGATACCATTTGTAACAACCCAAGCCCACCGCTAGCAGATATTGTCCTTTTTGGGCTTTCCCTTCCGGGGTTCCTCTCAAAGTTTTAAAATGCGTCTACTAGGGAGAGGTTTCCACACCCTTATAAAGAATGCTTCGTTCTTCTCCTAGCCGAGGTGGGATCTCACAATCTACCCCCTTCGGGGACCAGGGTCCTCGCTGGCACTTGTTCCCTTCTCCAATCAATGTGAGATCCCACAATCCACCCTCCTTCGGGGATCAGTGTCCTTGCTAGTACACTGCCTCGTGTCCACCCCCCTTCAGGGCTCAGCCTCCTCGCTGGCACATCGCCTGGTATCTGGTTCTGATACCATTTGTAACAACCCAAGCCTACCGCTAGCAGATATTGTCCTTTTTGGGCTTTCCCTTTCGGGCTTCCCCTCAAGGTTTTAAAACGTGTCTGCTAGGGAGAGGTTTCCACACCCTTATGAAGAATGCTTCATTCCCCTCTCCAACCAAGGCGGGATCTCTCATTTCCCATGACATGATGCACCCCCTCAAACATCTTTCAAATCTATGAAACTATAAGTAAATTGAACAATGAGAACCGGTGCCAGAAACTAAGACACATGAGCTTTAAAGACATTAATGCACGGTACCTGTAAGGCTAAACCATAACCCCCATTGGTATCTTGCTCAAAATATAGCAGCTGAAAATTAAAGATACAACTTGTTAGAACTACACAAACATAGAGAGATCACAGGTTAAAGAGAGATAATTGACCTTAAATTTGCTTTGAGCAGTGGAAGTAACTCTGACAACAATGCCTGCTGCAGCTTGTTGTTCATTGATTGTGACACCAAAGAAGTGAGCACACTGTTTATCTACCTGAATTGGAGCATTGCATAAGTGAAGGGAATTTAAGGGAAAGAGAAAGCTTTGTCATTATATGAACCAAATAAGCACCTTTCCACTGACTGATGTTCCAATGGGAAGAGGTCTAATGGTCACAGTTCCATTCAGAGCTTCCTCAAGAACAATGGCAGATATTGCAGTCTTAATGGGGACACCCAACTTGCTATCAACAGACAAACTTAGATATTAGAGAAGGTGACATTGCAGACCAATGGACCTCAAATTTCAAAAAGATATACCTGAATAAAGCAGCAAACATGGTATTGACAGTGCCCAAATTGGACAAGTCAATTTCCATATCTGAGCCTTCCACATCAATGGCCTGGAAAGATGAGGAATTTCATTTGCATGCATTCAAGTCAGCACAAGTTCAGTATCACAGAGTTACAAAATGGTTTATACTCTTTTCTACATCTAACTATCCAAATTTCTGAAGAAGAAACGAGTCTGGTAAGTTGATAGCTATCATGTGAGATCCCGCGTCGGTTGGGGAGAAGAACGAAGCATTCTTTATAAGAGTGTGGAAAGTGGAAACCTCTCCCTAGCTTACACGTTTTAAAAACCTTGAGGGGAAGTCTAAAAGGGAAAGCCCAAAGAGGACAATATCTGTTGGCGGTGGGCTTGGACTATTGTAAATGGTATCAGAGCTAGACACCGGGCGATGTGCCAGCGTCGAGGCTAAGCCCTGAAGGGGGGTGGACATGAGGCAGTGTGCCAGCAAGGAAGCTGGTAGCCGAAGGAGGGTAGATTGAGGGATCCTACATCGACAGGAGAAGGGAATGAGTGTCAGTGAGGATGCTAGGCCTCAAAGGGGGGTGGATTGTGAGATCTCACATCAGTTGGGGAGGAGATCGAAGCATTCTTTGTAAGGGTGTGGAAACCTCCCCCTAGTAGACACATTTTAAAAACCTTGAGGAAAAGCCCGAAAGGGAAAGTCCAAAGAGGACAATATCTACAAACGGCGAACTTGGACTGTTACATATCATTTTATAGTTGTGACCGAATATGTGTTTAATATAGATGCCTGAAGAATCTCGAAGAAACGGTTTTGTAGTTGGAGGCAAATGGAGTGAGTTTAAGGTCGTTTATTATACGAGCTTCTTTTACAACATGTCAACAACAAGTCGAGAGTCGATTTTTTCATTAATGGCTTCGTTCTTCGTGACTTTACAAATATGGTACTCTACTTCTTGTTTCGACTATCTAAGAAAAGCAAAGAAACAAACCTATATAGGAGCATTAGTGTACGCAACCAGCAAACAATATTCGATCCTAGAAAGAACAAAGGAAGAGATCAAAGGAAAAAAACCTCAAATCCTGCAGTGTCATACTGCCTTCTCTTCTCTGGATCAGATAAAATGTTGTAAGAATAAGCAACCTCCTTGAACAGTTCTGTAGCCTCAGGATTCCCAACATTCTTATCAGGATGATACCTTCCCATCATATGAATTGAAGCAACAAATCAGCAATAAACCACATTTAATGATGTTATTACACTAGAAAATATGGATAGATATTAATTAATGGCCTCTTCAACCCCATGTTAATATCATTACTCACAAGCTCTAGCAACCAACAAACTAAGCATAATTCTAAGCAAAAGAGGTCAAAAGCAATGATAAAAGGCCAAAATTCTACCCATTAGACCTGGGTTATCTGTTAGCTTTGTGTATGCTATGATCAACAATGAAGCCTGAATTTGAGCTTCTCATACCATATTCAACATCGACAGAGAATCAAAAGAAATGAAAACGTTTCCATACAACATTGTTCAGGATGGTTGGGAGAGAGCCGAGCCTTGTTAATTAAGGGGATGATCATGAACTTATAAGCAAGGAATACTAGACCTTATCCTCAAAGTGGACAATATCATACCATTGTGAAGAGCCGTAATTCCTAACATGGTACTAGAGCTATGCCCTTGACTTAGCAATGTCAATAGAATCCTCAAATGTCGAACAAAGAAGTTAGGACCCTCGAAAGTCTACTTTGTTCGAGAGCTCTAGATAAAGGAGTCGGGCCTCAATTAAGGGGAGGCTGTTCGAGGGCTCCATAGGTCTCCAGGAAGGCTCGATAATGTACTTTGTTGAAGGGGAGGATGATTGAGGGAATGATCATGGTTTTATAAGCAAGGAATACATATCCATCGGTACCGCAAGAGCTTATCCTCTATCGTATCATCGTAGAGAGTCGTGATTTCTAAGAGACATCGAAAGGAAATAACGATAAAACTTACTTGAGCGCGAGTTTCCTATATGCAGTCTTGATTTCCTGATCTGTAGAATCCCTGGAAACAGACAATACCTCATATGGGTCTCGTCGAAGAGCCGGGGTTGAAGGCCCTTCGGCCTTTGAACTTATCCCCATCTAGGCAAATGCGATGAACGAATCAAACCCACATCGAAAATCGTATGATATCCACATCCATACCCAAAACCTGAAGAAATTCCACCTTTAAAAAGAATCCCACGAATCAATAAAAGGAAAATCTGAAGAAAAACGGTGAAGGTTTCTGAATGTTCCCCCGTCCGTTCTTAACCTCTGTTTTTCGTTGCTTCGCGGCGACCCTTGTTCGAAAAGAAAATTTTTAAAACGGCCCACCGCCTGTGAGTGGTTGTTTAAATAGCTCCTAACAACTTTAAAAACAAAAAATGGGTCTGTTCATCAAAAGGAAGGCCACACAAAAAGCTCCTCTGTTTTGGTGACACTTTTAATTATATAACCAAACTTAGATGTTACCATACCATATTCACCACTACATACTTAACCAATTTTAACTTCAGCTAACGTATGGAGTTTGCACATTAATGGTAGCAGATTAGTTACCATATTAATGCTACCATATTAGTTACGTTAAAATAGTTGACTACCCTCATTGTTTTAAAACGTGTCTTCTTGTGGAGAGTCGTGTTCGTCTAACATGGTATCAAAGGAGTTAAGCCTCGATTAAGGGGAGGCGTACTTTGTTCGAGGGGAGGTGTTGGATGAAAGTGTCACTCTCCCCATTGGTACGAGGCCTTTTGGGAAGCCCAAAGTGGCTAATTCGTTCACAAAAGAAGGTAGTGCTGGCTATGGGGTTCGAACCCATTCGTTCACAAAAAGAAGGTAGTGCTGGCTATGGGGTTCGAACCCATGCGCACTTATGTGCAGAAGATCCTAAGTCTTCCCCCCTAACTTCTCAGGCAAACCAGCCAATTTGCTTCATGAAAATTAAGTTTAAACTAAACTAAATTAAATAAATTCGAATTCGAATACAAAATCCATCCCGAGATTTTACCTGAATCAAGTTATGAACAATGGAGAACTCTAGTATATGTTCACACAATTTTTTTCTTTTTTTTTTTTTACAATTTTGAAAAAATTAATTTTTGTTACATAAATTAAAATGTAATTACTCCATTTTAAAGAATTGGAATATATATATATATATATATATAAATGAACATGGTCTAATTTCTTGACGATAAATCAAATCAAATAAATTGGAATGTGGTTAAATGTAACAACCCAAGCTCACTACTAGCAGATATTGTCTTCTTTAGCCCGTTATATATCATCATCAGTCTCACAATTTTAAATATTAAGATTAAAGTATATGTTTTAATTAATTATATAATTCTCTCTCCGCACGAAATTATTAAATTAATGTTTATTTATTAATAAAAATACTTTCCAATTATTTTCTTAACAATGAGAATAATACAAACTAATTTTATGATTTAATTAAATTAAATAGTCACCAATATTCTCTAGAATCTTCTTTTAAAAACATTTAAATGGAAGATTAAAACACAAATTTCTAAATTATTATTTTCCTAGAAATAAAAGCAATTTAAAAATAAAAAACTGAAAAATAAAATTAAAATAAAATAAGAACCAATGAATGTACACACACTAGTACGACTTACTCCATGCCCAATAATTTAGAAACAACTACTTTGATCTCCACGTCGTTTACTGACTACTGGCTCCTCCTCCGCCGCCGCCGCAAGTCCCCTCCGACACCGACGGCGACTCCGTCACCGAGTCGGAGCCGTCATGGAACGGCGACACCTCCACCCCACGAAGCTCATCGATCATCTTCACCACATGGATCATTTTCGGCCGTTGATCCGGCGAAGCCGAAGTACAAGTCAATGCAATCTGCAGAAGCCCCACCATTTCCTCTTCGATGTCTTTGTATCTCATCAGCTCCAAATCAAAAACCTCCGCCGTCCACTCCTCCCGCACCACTGACTGAACCCACCGCGGCAAATCCAGCACGCCGCCGTATCCACCGCCTCCTGGCCCACCATTCTCCACCACAGAAGGACACTTTCCAGTTAACAGCTCGAGAAGAAGAACCCCAAATGAATACACGTCGGATTTCTGCGTCAGTTTCCGACCTTCGCTGCACTCCGGCGCTCGGTAGCCGTTGGATCGTGGAGTGGAAGGGGGAGTGAAAAGGGACAGTCCAAAATCGGAAACTCGAGCATTTCCCGATTGATCCAGAAGAATGTTAGTGGATTTCACATTGCCATGAACAAGCCTGAGAAACTTACTGGAGTTGTGAATGAAGGTCAGACCTCTGGCTGCTCCGGCGGCGATCTTTAACCTCGTCGTCCAATCCAACGGCGTCCGTCCAGGGCCTCTGTTTCCTGTCGAACAGTCAAAAAAACACCACAGGAAGAACTCTGTTCATTAGAAATCAAATTGAAAAGAAACACAGAAGAAAAAAACGCATTATAATGATGGATTTGATGCAAAATCACAGTACCATGAAGAAGCCAGAACAGATTGCCATTGGGCATGTAATCATAAACCAAAAGCTTCTCCTCTCTCGCAAAATAGTAAGCTCTCAAGCTTACAATATGTTCATGTTTCAACCTTCCGAGCACCTCCATGTGCTGCTCAAACTCTCGTTTACCTCCGACCTGCGCGTCTTTCAGCCGTTTCACCGCCACGACATTGCCGTCGTCGAGAATCGCTTTGTATGAAGTTCCGAACCCACCTTTTCCGAGCATTTCCGCGGAGGCTCGAAGCAAATCTTCGAGCTCGAACTTCTTGACTCCCTCGAAGAACACCATCCGACCCCTCTCTGTTCCGGCCTGAGCTGGATATGGACTCGACGAGTAAACGATCTTCTCGCTCTCAAGAAGCTTCGGCCCCTTCCTATCTCGGGATTTGTCGGAGGAGTTTCTCCAGAAATAGCAGTAGAGAAGAAGCGAGACTACTGCCAACACCAATACATCGCCGAGAATTATAGCGATTAGCGCCAGAGAACCTATCTTCCCGGTGCCTTTGTGGTGGGTGCTTTCCGGCGTAACTCCGGGAAGCGATGTCGGAGAAGATGAAACTGTTAGATTCCGCGGCGGTGTTATGGGGGACGCAATGGCCCCTTCGGATCCGGGTTCCGTCGGGTTAGTAACAATGCCATTGCAGCTCTGTAGAGGAGATCCACACAAACCCAAGTTCTGGCCGAAACAAGACGCCGGAAACGTCGACAACGATTTAGGGATTTGACCTGAGAGACGATTCGCTGAAACGTTGAAATCCTGAAGATTCGGCAGGTTCAGTTCCAAAACAGGACCAGAAAACCGGTTTTCTTCGAGGCGGAGAGTAAGAAGATGAGACAAACGGTTAACAGAGGCCGGAATCTGTCCGGTGAAGTTATTGTGAGAGAGATCAAGACGGTAGAGGCGGACAAGAGACATCAAAGACGCCGGAAAATCGCCGGAAAATTGATTATACGAGAGAAACACGAGTTTAAGAGCGGTGAAGTTGGAGAAATCAGGAATGGAACCGGAGAGACGATTCCGCTTAAGGCTCAACACTCGTAACTGAGTCAAACCAGTAAGAGGTGCAAGAGAGCCTGTAAGATCAAGATTCTCAAGAACTAACCTCGAGACTCTGTTTCTGAGGCAAGACACTCCATTCCAAGCGCACGGGTTCGAAGTAGAGTTCCATGTGGTGAGCTTATTCCCTTCATCAGACGCCGCTTTGAACGCCATTAAAGCGTCAAAATCCGAGTTCGAAGAAGCATAAAGATGTGCAAAAGGGAGTAAACAAAGACAAAGAGCGAAATGCGACAGTAATGTAGCCGCCGCCATTGTTGCTCTGCAAGAAAACTCGAAGAAAAGGGAAAATGAGAATTGGGAGAGAAAGGGACAAGGGTTTTAGACCTGTAAAGCGAAGAGAGGACGCGAGAAGAAAAGGCAACGGAAAGGAAAGTGGCAGTGGTGTAATTACTGAAAAATAAAAGGGCAGAATTGTAATATACAACAATAATTTACTTTTGACTGAGCCGGACACTTCCAGTATGAGGAACTGAAAAAGCTTGTAACGTGTACCGTATTAACTGCAAGATAAAAAAAAAAAAAAATACCACATGGTAACACAACCCCTTCCCAAAAAATTACCGTTGGTTTAATGGAAAGAAGTTACCAGGGGTCAAAATTTAAATCATAAAAAAAAAAATTATAATTACCGTGGACTACAACAGAAGACCTCATATCAATAGAGATAGTATTTTTTTATTATAAACTTATGATCATTCCCTAAATTAACCGATGTGGGACTTTCATTCAACCGATATAAAGATAGGATTCTTTTAAATAATTTATTAAAACATTAATAATATTTGTGAGTACCATCACATGTATCTCCCTTTCTATCATTTATTGTAGGGAGCTTATTTTCATAATTAAAAAACGTATATAAATGCCAATTTTTCATTTAAATTTGAAGCGGAGATAATTTTAAACGTCTCATTAAATCACAAAAGACATTTAAAAATCAAAATATCTCAAATTAGTCGACATGAGTATAGTTCAATTAACATAAAACATATCCTATCAACTAACCTGTCAAACGTTCAAATGTGCGGACCAATATAAACAAAGTTCACAACTGCACCCAGTCTAACTCAAATATCAAACGTACAAAAGTCATGGGATTGTAACTCTATTTTCAAATTAGTTAGATGGGTCAGATTGACCCGACAAATAAAATAAAATATATATTTTAAATATTAATAATAATTTTTATTATTATTAACCTGTCAAACGTTGTAAATTGTTACGACTCTAACCGGAAAATGACAGGAAACGGTGACACGTGGAAAATAGTTAATGAGGATTCCATTTCTGGTCGAGAAACTAATTATAATTAATAAATAGACTGTAAACGAACTTTGTAGGCAGCGTGAGAACCACGCTCGGCAATCATAAGAAACACGTGATGGTTCGTACACAACACGAGGCTCTGACGCGCGTGCTGGATCTGGGTGTAATTAACACGGCGTTTGAGGGTGCTGCAGCACAAGATTCCACCCCTTTCTGTAAGTTTAATGCAAATCCTTCGCCACGTGGGACTTCTTAATTAATTTAATTAAGATGCATTTAATTAATCCATCTCCTCCCATTAATACTGGAGTATTGTTGGATTAGGTTAATACATTTCTTTTTAAATTAAATTAAATTAAATTAAATTATTCTTGCTACTCAAATTATATTAATTAATTAATTAGTGTATATATATAGAATTTATTTATTTATTTATTATTTTAATAAATGAAAGAAAATGGCAGAGAGTTGAAAGAAGGTCATT